CGAAAATGTGAGAGACAGCCAGGCAAATGTCCACCAAGCTGGGGGCACTGGGCAGTGTGGACACGAGGCCACATCCACACCAGGTGGCTGGAGCAGCTGCTGGACAAATGGCCTCTGATGGCGCCTGGCAGTCCTGCAGCCTCTGTCCCTGGAGCCCAGTCCATCCTCTGCACAGAAATTGCACCTGTTAGTTCCCCTCCCCCAGCACTCTGCAACCACAGGATGGGAACAGCCAGCCCAGCCGGCAGAATGTGCCACAGCCTGGTGAGCACAAGCAGCCCCTTTATTTTAAAGTGATACCCAGATCCCCGTGGTGAGGAGCAGAGCAGACCCTTGCCTCTAGGACCAAACCGAAACAGCCCCGAAAGGGAGCAGCTGCCACTGAGCTTCCCTACCCTGTCCTCTGCACTTCACAAGGCCCAGGGGTTCTGGGAACAGAAGTGGAGTAGCTTTTCACCCAACTGCTGCTTCATTTATTCCTTCATTCATTCAGCAAACACTGACAGGGTCTCCCCCCTCAGAAAGGAGGGGATAACAACCCGTTCAAAGGTTGTTGGAGGGCCAGGCGTGGGGGCTCACGCCTGAGATCCCAGCACTTTGGGAGGCCAAAGCAGGCAGATCACTTGAGGCCAGGAGTTTGAGACCAGCCTGGCTGTTTGGCCAACATGGCAAAACGTCATCTCTACTAAAAATACAAAAATTAGCTGGGCGTTGTGGTGGGCACCTGCAATCCCAGCTACTCAGGAGGCTGAGGCAGGAAAATTGTTTGAACTGGGGAGGCGCAGGCTGCAGTGAGCCAAGATTGCACCACTGAACTCCAGCCTGGGCGACAGGGCAAGACTCTGTCTCCAAAGAAAAAGCATACAAATGCTGCTGGAGGACTAATGCAGACTTTGCTGGGAGTGCCTGGCACGGCCTGGCTTAGAGAACACGGTTGCTGGGGCCAGCTCATGCCTGGGCTCTCTGAGTGTGGTGGGAGGTTCTGAGCAGGAGGGACACGATCACATCTGCTTCCCACAGAGATCCCTAAGGCTGTGCAGAGGGTGGAACCCAGGCAGCAAGGGTGGGAGCAGGAGCCCAGGAGGCCCCCGCAGCAGAGAGACCAGCTGCGCGGAGCCTCCTCTGGGCCTGAGCTCAGGGCCAGGGTTGCAGAGCCCAGACACAACCTCTGCAGCCTAGCCCTCTGCCCACTGCCCTGGCCCCTAAACCTGGCTGACTCCAGAGCAGGCACCACAGCCTTTTGCACCCCCACCAGCCTGTTTGGGCCAGGAGAGGAGGCCTGGCCTCATGGCCCCAGAGAGCCCTCAAGCCATTTACCCCCAGAGTGATGGCATTCGGGGGTCGGGTTGAGGAATTCCCTTGCAAGCTGGGAAGTCTCCACTCAAAGAATCCAGCAGCTCCTTGCCATGCAGCAGCACAGCCCCAGGGTCTGCCACAGCCCTGCTGGTAGGAGACGCCGTGGGATGCTTCCTGTCTCAGAACCTCCCCAGAGCCTCGTGCTGGCCTCATAAAAAAAAGAGTTAAATCTACTGCCCTAAATTTACAGAATCAATAGGGAAGGGCCAAAAAGCAGAAACCAGGATCCCTGCCCCTAACCTCTGTTTTCTCATCTGCAACATGGGATTGGGGGAAGACGAGAGGTACTTGAGACCTCTTCCTGCGTTGTGGGCCTGGAGCCCAGTGGTGACTGGGTTTCCCAGACGCCTTCTCCTCCACGTCTCTCTCTCATGCCTCCTGATCCTGCTCTGAAATTACCATATTTGATTATTTGCTTATCCTCTGTTTTCTCAGCAGAATGTGACTGGGGTAAACAGAGAGGGCTTCCCAGAAGAGGGGACTTGAGTGGGGAAAATGGGATTCAGAAAGTCGGAAAGTTGATGGGAGCAAATTCCAGGAAGCATAACGGATTCGAAACCCAGGGCCCAGAGCAGGGATATCACAGGTACAGTCTTGACTTTTGTTCCCTCCCAGACGCTTCGATCTTACGCCATTTGACAACAGGACTTTGAAAAGTAATTCGATGTTTTATGCATCCTTAAATGCTTCAAAGCTGCAAATCAGTCACCGGGTGCTTTGCTAATCATGTCCTGGGCTCCTATGTTGCTAATAATTGTGCTCTCTTACATGCCCACCTGACCTTTCTCTGTCCCAGGCAAATGAATTTCTCCTGGTGTTCATTGTTCTAATTGCATTCACAGCAAGGCAGAGCAAACATGGTCTCCTCCTGACTTGCATTAGGCAAAACCTTAATCTCCCCAAGTTTCCTAAAGCACTGTGTGATTCCCAGCCTCCCAGTGCCAGGAAATGCACTATTGGATGTGGCAGTCAGTATAAATTAGGTTTATTCAGGGAAAATAAAGGAGCTTTGATACTATAAACTATTGGGAAATAGTGATCCATCCCCCCTCTCAAGCATGGACATCCCATAAATTTGCCTCTTAGGAAACAAAATATATAAGGCTGCCGATCACACACGTTGCCAGATTGATATCCTGCGTGCAGTCCACAAAATGAAGAGGAGTGGATTTGTGTCTCGGGCAAACTCTCAGGCTGTCTGTGGGGCTGGTGCTGCCCACCCTGATCTGAGGGTCAATTGGCCTAAAAAAAGACCCCTGGAAGGCAAGGCGGCAATGTGGGAAGGTGGGATGCTCAGGACGGTAGCAAGAACAGAGCAAGAGAGAGCTAGCCTGGAAGCCTGGCTATGCACCTTCATTGCTTTGTGACACTTGGTGGGCAGGTGGCTCATCCCTTCTGGGCTTTAGTTTCCTCACCTGTCACCAAACCAGAAGGTTGAGGGTTAAATGCAGTCCTGGATGGATCTTTGTTAGGCAGCTACAATGTCTGCCAGGCCCTGGTCTTGTCTATGGGTAAATAGTGGAGGCCATGATAGGCAGGGCCTTGACCTCAGGGTGCCCAGAGAGAACAGGCCAAGGAAGAAGGCTGTTGACTGGGTAGGCTCAGACTATCACAAGGCTTGTGACAGTGACTGGGGAGGGGATGGTAACATTAACCAGATAACACAGACTCAACACCGTGACAATGACTGTGGATGGACACACCCCTCTCATATACCGACCCAGGTTGGTGGGGCCCGTAAGAGCCATAAACAAGATTGGTGCAGCCAGTTAGAGCTATAAATCCATGCCAATTTCATAACCAGCAGCCACCAGCCATGGGCATGCTGGGTTCTGATGTTGAGGATCAGGACTGAATGCAGCCAAATAAATGCATTCATCAAAAGATGTTTTATTACTGCCATCACTATTATTCTTTACATTACCGTGTTATAGATGCAGCAACTCAGTCCTACCAAGGAATCAGTAATCAGCAAGACACTCCTCTTTGATATATACCCTGTCTTCCCTCTCTAAACTCCTTTGCCTAAAGGTGAGTAGGCAAGGAACGTCTTGCTGAGTTCTCTACTGTCCTTCAGCCAAAACCTCACCCTCCTCCCAGCCACTTGGTGATATTGGGGCAGCAACCAACCCTGCAAATCACATGTTGGTTTTGCTAGTGACTTCCTATTGGGCTTTGCCAATGGAGGCACTAGAGGAAGACCTAGAGGCTGGAGGAAGGAGAGAGAGGCTGGACTTGCTATTTTGTGTATACTTTCTGTTCTGATTTTGCTGCTGCTTCTCGTTTTTTATTTCCCTGTCAGTACGCCAGCATCGTGACTCAGACAGTGCTAGATAATTTTCAGCACCATCGTTTCATGCTGCAAAGTCCCAGTTGGTACCTCTGGGATACCTTAGTGCAAGGGTTGGCCTTTTTTTGAAAGGGCCACATAGTAAATATTTGGGTCTTATAAGCCATATGATCTCTGTTGCAACTAGGCACCTCTGCTCTTGTAGTCATAAACAATATATAGACAAATGGGCATGGCTGTGTTCCAATAAAACTTTATTTACACACACAGCCCACCCCTGCCTTAGTGTTCTGTTTGCATTTTAATTCTTCCATACCTAATGTACACACACACACACACACACACACATTTTTGTTGTTAAAATAATTAGTATGGTTACATTCTGTGTGCATTTAATGGTGTAATGGTTTCTGAAACCATACTAGCTATTTTAACAACAAAAGCCCCCTGCCTGGACCCTTACTCAGAAATCAGAATCACAACTATGGTTCCTATCTGTCTTACTGAATAAATCATTTAATGTACTTGCTACTTTTTGTTCATCAGGTCCAAAGAGCAAAATATCATTAATGTAGTGGACCAGTGCGCTGTTTTATACAATGAAAAGATCTTCAAGAATCTCCGAAGACTACACTGTGGCCAAAAGCTGAAGAGTTAGTATAGTCTTGAGGCAAGGCTGTGAATGTGTGCTGCTGGCTCCGACAGGTAAAAGCAAACTGCTTCTTACAGTCCTTACAAAGTGATCTAGAAAAAATAAAGTATCTGCCAGGTCAATAGCTGCATTTGAGGTGTCGGGGGGTTGCTGATTTGCTTAAGCAAAGATAGCATGTCTAGAATAGGGGCTGCAACTCACTTCACCGCCTGTAGGTGGCTGTAGACTTACAGTACCCACAGCCATTCTCCAAGAACCATCTGCCTCTACACAGCCAAACAAGAAAATTAAACTGGAGATCACTGTATTTCCCACCTCTGCATCTTTCAGGTCTTTGAGGATGGCACTCATCTGCAGTGCACCTTAAAATGCCATCCTGGCTAGGAGGGAAATTATCTGAGGATTCCACTTGGGTCTTACTACTATAATAGATATTACTCTGTGACTCTCTTCCGTTGCCATGAAACTTGGAAAACAGCTATAGAGTATATCTGCAGGCCTATGGGGTGCACTGTGATTTGAAGTTAGGTCAAAAATCCACTTGTTACTTGACTTCTGTAAAGAAATCAGGCAAGAGGCTATGACTCCATAGTGATAGTGCATGGCCGTCAGATCTGGAGTTTTGCTATTACTTAGGTAGATCAAATAATGTTTTGATACATTGCCCATCTATTTCATGTCTAAGGACATCATAATGAATAAGCCATTGCTAAAGATTCCCTGAGAGTCAAAACATTCTAATTACCACTTCTTTTCTTCTGAAAAACATGGTAAATATGCCCATCTTGTCTTTAGGGGATAAATGCTGTCACATGTCCTCGTCCTCACTGAGATCTTCCATCTGGCGTCTCCCCCGGCATCCCCACCACCCTGCCTGGCCCATTCAGAGCAGCCACCATGGAGATTTGTAAGGAGGCAGGTGGTCCCTCCTTAGCATATTTCTCAATGCCTAAGTGACCAGAGTGTCTGTCCGCCCCTTTGAGGGCATGTAATGGGCTGGAGGAGGGATGGCGCGTGTCATTCATGGTAAAGCCACTCCAACATCCCCAGCTCCCTAAGCCTTTGGATATTTTCCCTTACACTGTGCAATGAACATTCTCTTATCCTACTCTTATTCAATGAGGGCCGCCACTGAGACCAAGTGTAGTTTCCCACCAAGTAAACAGAGCCACTTCCGGCCTCACGAACTTACCGTGAAATTCAGAATTCCTAGTAAGGGCACCCATATCAATACCTTTACCATGACGCAGTGTTACATGCTGACCTCTTTAGTCTAACACTCTTATCGTCTATTCATACACATATTCTGCATGCTTCTGCCAATGTAAATTGGCAAAATCTTTCCAATGTTTTGGTGTATATGCAATTTCCTCTCGGGGGACTTTGTGCTCGTCCTCCTGGAATAGGCTGACATCTGGCCCTAGATTAGTAGCAGCAAAAATGGAGTCTAGGTAGCTCCTTTCAAGGAAGACTTCTAATGACCTTGTAAGGAGACATGAGAGAGAGGCTGCTTCTAATTGGTTCCTTTTCCTTTAAAAAAAAAAAATGTAGTTTTCAATGCCCGCTATCAGGGCAGGTACTTAGTAGGTTTATAATAGATACTTTTTGGATGAATGAATAAACAACATTTTAAGGATATGGACCAAGCATCTGAAATTCTATTTTTTAATTTATAACAAGATAACTTCCAAAATTCAGTCTTTACCCCCAATTAAACCTCATTTAAACGGAACTCCTGTCTATCTCCCAAGGAGCTCCTTCTCGGGCTCAGTGGGAAGCCCCTACAGGCCAGGCTGGGTCTGATGCCCCCAAGTCTCCACGTCTGGCAATATGATCCCTTGTACCTAACAAGTGCTCCGTAAATGTTGGCTGAATGAATGAGTGTGAGGATTGCCTCCAGAGGGCCTTTCCAGAACTACCCATTTCACCTGGGCACCGGTCACACCTCACCTTCCTTCTTTGGGTTGCACTCAAAGAGATAAACTGATCCTACTTACTTTCTGACCAGCAATTCCTCTCTCACTCATAAACTGATGCCATTCTAGCGACCAACAGATAGCCTGCCATGAGTGAGGTGAGTTACCGCTGTCAGATCTCAGGGCTGAATGAAAACCCAGCCTTGCCTCAGTGACCCTCTTGGTGCCCTCATCCTCTCCATGGAGGCAGCTCCTTCCCAGGCATCCTCTGTGACTCGGTGGCAGCATAGATGACGGGTTGAGGGCTGAGCATGAGTAAGACGGTCAACATAATTTGTGCCAACCTGGCAGTCGCTCCTCACCTTCCATCCTGACTCAACCTCCATGTGGTCCAGTCGCCTGGGAGCCATGAGTTTCAGGACACAGGCTCTCCCCGAGCCCCCGGACATGACTCTTGATGGATCCAAGCCAGGAATTCTCAACTTTGTCAGACTCATGACCTCTTCCAAAGAAGAACTGTGCTTAATGATCTCTTTACTGCCCTGAAATGAAAGTCATAAATAATTAACCTATAACATCATACACCTACTTAAAAACTCATTACAATGCCCTAAGAGGACAATAAAAAGAAATAAAAGGACAATAATTTTTAATAAAATAATTTGTAATAAATTAAATCATATTTCAATATGCAAATGAACAGACACAGACACAGGCACACACAGAGACATAACAAACACTTAGATCCTAGCCAGCATCTGCAGAAGAAGTTTGGATAGAAGATCAGGAGTCACGCTACAACAGAAGGGCAGAAAAATAAAGAAGACACTTGAATATAAATATTATATTCAGTGTACACTAAAATCTTACAAACATATCTTGTTTTGATATTAAGTTGATGTAGGCTCTAGGCTAAGATGATTAAATAGCTTCACACAAGAGCGGCCAGAGGGGACTGAAATTTGTGTGGGAAACAGGACAGTCTGTCTTATGTGGACTGTCCAGCACCTTGGAAGCATCCAGCATTCCCAGCCCCACCCAGCTGAATGCCAGCAATGTCACCAGTCATTGAGCCAAGCCACCCCCCCACCACCACCACCCATTTCCAAACATCCCCAGGGCTTGTGCCTCTCTGGCGAAAACCCATTGGCCAAGCCATAATAATTCCACTTCCTCTGCCAGCACCAGGCCTACCAATGCACTTGGGATGCAATTTTGGTCAAAGTAACAGGCGATCAAATCTGCTGGGGGCTTCTGGGAAAGGGTTTCAGGCTCTCATAAAGCAGCAGCAGGAGGAGACACGTTCTTTCTTTGGCTTTCACCCCTTACATGAGGGCGGGACACCTGGAGCTGTGGAGCAATCCTAGAGCTTAGGAGTGCAAGCCTGAGGGTCAAGTCACGTGGAGAGCACAGCGGGAAGTTTCAAAGAATCTGGGTCCTTCTCTGCACCAGCCAAACCAGAAGTACCTGGAATTCCACTGGATTTCTTGACTCATGGAGACATAAGATACCGTCCTAAGATGTAGGACAATAGGATACTTATTGTGGAATCCTCTGCTGCTTGAAGACAAAAGCATCCCACCTGTGACGGGTAGAGCCGTTTTTTGCTCATTACCATAATCCTTTCTACTTGATAAGCAAAACCTTTGAAATTTACAAAGCGCCAGACTAACCGTCTTATCATTGGAAACTCCCTCACTCCCCGTGAGGTGTGGATTATGATCCCCATGTACAGACAGGAGCACTGAGGCCAAGGAGAAGGGGAAGTGATTTGCCCCTCCAATATCCCTGCCCCCCTCACTCCTCCACCAGCCCACCAGGCAAGATCCCACCCTGAGGTCTTTGCACCTGCCGTGCCTTCTACCTGGAACCAGGCAGCTCCATGGACCTCTCCTCCTTAGGTCCAGTCAAGGGTCTGTCTCAGAAAGGCCGTCTGTGACCATTGATTAAAATAGCTCTTACACCTGTTCCGTCCTCTCACCTGTGGATTTTCCTGGTTGGCCCTGACACCATCTGACATATTACTCACCCATATGTTTACTGGCTTCCTTGCCTGCCTCCTTCCAGCAGATCTAAAGCTCCACAAGGACTTCCGACATGTGACTCTGCACCTAGAACAGGACCTGGCACATAGTAGGCCCTCCATAAATATGTGTTAAGTGCTGCCAGTGGACCCACATGGCCTGCTGACCTAGAATTGAGTTTGGGTTTCTGCAAACCTCTTGCTGGCAGGATACTGGGTGGGGACATGTTCTGGACAGGGTGGGTGTCCTCAGCCCCCAGTGGCTGCACCCTCCTTCCCGGTCAGACCCAGCCTCCAGTGACTCAGACCCAGCCCGATGGAAGAACATTCTCTCAGGAACAATTCAGCTCCACCCTGACTTCCTGTAAGGAGTCTGAGGCCCCAAGGAAGGTGGCAGCTCAGCTTCTGGTCACCAGTGATAGAAACAAATAGAGCAGAAAGGCTTCCAGAGGGGCTGGGTCAGGGCCAGGTCTGTGCCACCCAGGGAAAGCAGAGAGACAGGATTTCGGGCCTTCCAGCACCTGAAGAGTCCATCAACGTGAACACCTCACACTGGCCGAGCTGCTTCGCGGTCAGGATTCTCCTGCCTCAGCCCGGCATTTGCTGATTCCGTTTGCTAAAGTCAGCGAGGATTGACTGAGCACCTCCTGTGTTTCAGCTGCTGTGCTAGGATTTGGGATTTGGGGACACAGCTGTGAACAGGCAGGCCCAGCCCTTGCCCTCATGAAACCTGCATCCTGACTGGAGTAAAGCAGCCCCACCTGAGTTAACAAACAAAAGTAAACCAAATACAGACTGGGATCTGCACCACGGCGAAGGAAAGAGCACTCTGTGTTAGCGAGTCAACAGCGACGCCATTTTCACCCTATCAGGAGGAGGCAGAGTTCCAACCACGACCTGAACGAAATGACAGGAAGGAGCCAGGCAGGAAGAGGGTTCCAGGTGAAGGAAATGGCAGGTGCCAGTGCAGAAATCCTGAGACAGGAGCAAGGCACAAGCCTAGAGAGTGGAGGGGCAGAACAGCGGCCCTGGAGGCTGGCAGGCAGCCGGGGAAGGAGGCAGGTGTAGGGGAGGATTGAAAGGCCAGAACCTCCACGTGGCTGTCCGCTCAGCACCCAAGGCTCACCCAGCAGGCCATGGTGGCGTTCAGACGACTGAGGCGCTGCAGTCAGATGCGCTGGGTTCAAACCTCAAGGCTACCAGCCCCAAGGCTCCATGGTTTCAAGCAAGTCACTGTGTTCCTGCATTTTCACACCACTATAAACAACCGCCCAACACTGGGTCGTCTACGAAAAATGTATGAAGGAAAGAAGTTTAGTTGACTCACAGTTCTGCATGGCTGGGGAGGCCTCAGGAAACTTACAATCATGGCAGAAAGCGAAGGGGAAGCAAGGTGCCTTCTTCACAGGGCGACAGGAAAGAGAATGAACGCAGGAGAAACTACCCAACGCTTACAAAACCGTCAGATCTCGTGAGAACTCCCTCACTATCACGAGAACAGCATGGGGGAACCGCCCCCGTGATTCCATTACCTCCACCTGGTCTCCCTTTTGGGCAGGGACACAGCAAAACCCTATCAGTCACTTAACTCAGCCTCTGTTTCCTCATCTGTAAAATGGCACAAACAGCTGTGTCTTTCTCTCGACATTGCCATGGTGATGGGTAAAGACGAATCGCTGGAATCCTCTCCAGTGGGGCTGAGCCATCCTGCCTGCCACGGCCACTCACTTGTTCATTGATTCTTCCCACTGAAGGCAACAGGTATTGATGGATCACCTACACCAATATCAGGAATTTCAAGACGTGATGAGGTTCTGATCACTAAATTCTACAAAGAGTGAAATCCTCAACAAATGCTGATTAAGCAACACACTAACACACCCAGTGTGGCGCCAGGCAGACAGCAGGTGCTTATGGCACACAGCAGGTGTCACCACACATAGCAGTGTGCCCATACACAGCAGGTGCTCACTGTATACAGCAGGTGCTCAGGGCACACAGCAGATGCTCATTGTACACAGCAGGTGTCCCTACACAAAGCAGGTTCTCCCATACACAGTAGGTGTTCAGGGCATACAGCAGGTGCTCACTGTACACAGCAGGTGCTCAGGGCACACAGTGGGTGCTCCCGTACACAGCAGGTGCTCACCGCACAAGCAGGTGTTCAGGGTACACATCAGGTGCTCCCAGCACATGGCAGGCGCCCTTGGCACACGGCAGGTGCTCCCAGCACAGCTGTTGCTGTGGTTGCTTTCCCTGCGCAGCGGGCACCTTCTTTCCTACACATCTGGTGCCATCAGGCCTCAGGGGTTTGCCTCTCCCACCCCTTGGCAACAGGCATGCTGTTCCAGACACGCAGTGAGTGCAGCCTGGAACCAGGCAGCTCTCAGCATTGAGGTCACCAGTCCCCTTCCAGCGCCTGTAGTCTCCATGTCTGCAGGGAAGACTGGGGACTCAGGGATCCAGGAGGCTGCCCTGTCATGAGAGGGCCCTCCTCACTGTATTCTGACAATGGGAGTGGTCACTAGTCAACGAGAAGGACACAAACCCCTGCCCTGGCGGAGCCCATGGCAGCACGGGGTAGAGACCATGGGCAAGAGGCAGAGAGACACCTGCCGGGCGGCAGGAAATGCGATGAAGAAAAGGAAAATCATTCCTGGAAGCTTATGGAAAGGAAAAAGGTTTTTTTTGTTTTTTTTTTTTTTAATTTAAAAATGTTTAAAGAAAAGTAAAATAGAGTAAGGGAGAGAGAGGGTAACAGGAAAAGATGGGTGATGTGGGGACACTGAGCAGACCCAAGTAAAATGGAGGAGCAAAGCAGGAAGCTGTCTGGGGGAAGAGGGTTCTGGGAACAGCACATACAAAGGTCCTGGGGCAGCCCCTGTGGCAAGAAGGCAGAAAAGCACCTTTCTGTTTTCACACTGGAGCCTGTGGTGCTTTCTCTGGACTTCCTCCACCTCTCTCCTCTCCTGCTCCCATTTTTTCCAGGTTCTGGGACCAAAGCCAGATTCTCCGGTGGGGCTTCAGGGCAGAGGGTCCCCGTGATCCTGGAGCTGCTCTGTATCCCACCTGCCAAGTGTCACGTGGCTACCTCAGACCTGGAACTGCATCTGGGGCTGGTATTTCTGAGCTGCTCAACTGCCAGCTGTATGACCCCGGGTAAGTCACTTCAACTATCTGAGCCCATTCCCTCCTCTGTAAGGAGGCGCCTTTAGAACCTACCCTGAGGGGTTGGCGAGAGGATTGCATGAGGTGATGCCTTCAAGACACCCAGCAAAGAGCCCGGGAGCCCCTGAGCGCCCAGTGCATGTGACTCTGAACACTGCTGCTGGTCCCTGCAGGACATCAGGGAGAGGGCCAGACTGGCCAGAGGGCGAGAAGCCCCTTTGGAGGAATTCCGTTGCGTGCCCTCAGCGTAAATGGGGAAAGTGAGGTGCAGGGAGGGCAAGGAACCTCCCCAAGGTCACACAGCAAGTCAGGAGATGCTAACTCGGGCCCTGCATCCCTCTCCTGACCACCCCTGCCCCCTCCGACCCTCCAGGGATGCTCCCAGTGCCAGGAGGGAGGCAGCTTCAGGCCTGGCTTTCAGCCTCCCCTGCCTGCCAACCCCAAGCTCCAGGCTTGCAGGGGGAGCCTCCCGGAGCTCTGGGTACGAGGTCCTCCAGGCTGGGTCGGGACGGCCTGGCCCACAGCGCCACCTGGTGGCCGCCGCTTCCACGCGGGTCGCGGTTTCTGGGCCAGGAGGAGGTCGTTACCAATGGCTATGGGTCTGGTCACAAAGTTCGTAAGCACTCCACTTTACAACGTCTAAGGGCCTGCCACAGCCTTCGCCTCAATTAGAAGAGAGGATGGGAAAAAGAGAAAAGAGAGAAGGGAAAGCCCCCCAAAAGGAAAGAATTGAAAGATAGAACAAATATAGAAAAGCTAAATATAGAGAGAATGAAAATGAGAGGGAAGAAAGAGAGAGAGAGAGAGAGAAAAGAAAAGAAAAGAAAAGAAAAGAAAAGAAAAGAAAAAAGGAAAAAAAAGGAAAGAAAAGGAAAGGAAAGGAAAGAAAGAAAGAGAAAGAAAGGGGGAGGAAAGAGGAAGGAAGGAAAGAGAGAGACAGAAAAGAAAGTTTTTTAAAGAGAGAGGAAAAAAAGAAAATATTCATCGCAAGCCCAGTCCAGGAGACGGATAGGGCCAGTGCCCATCGTCCGAACGGTTCCAACCCCGCCTCCAGGCTGGCTCTGTCCCTAATGCCGGCACCGGGAGCCAGGCTTGGGTCTGAGTGCCGGCGCCCAGGGAACCGCAGCCTCTGGACACTAAGTGGTCCCCAGCACCACCTGCTGGACAAACAAGGCACTACACTTATCCCAGGAAGTCCACTTTGGAGCCCTGGAGGGGACTCCTGGTAACCCCAGCAAGGCAGCCAGGTGGGTGGAAAGTCTCCATTTCTCAAAGAAGGAAGCTGAGGCTCCCAGAAAGATGGAGACAAGCTCAGATATGGCCACTCAGCAAGTTTCAGGTGCTGACAGATCCAGGAGCAGGCAAGGGTGTCTGACTTCAGAGGTCCTATTCCAGCCCTCCAAGAGCAAACCCAGGTGGCAGACACAGAGGTTAGAGGGGCCGGCCTGGCCACAGATGGGTGTGGTTGCACCCCCGCTCTGATCACTGTGCTGACCCAGCTTTCTTCTATCAGTATTTAGCCTTGATTCACCACTGCCTGGCCCCGGGCTGGGCACGAGAGACACAGGATTGGGAGGGGTGTGGTTTCTGCTCTTCCCCAGTCTGGGAAGGACGGGAAATATGGCAACAGTTACATTTGGATAAAATCATAAAGCAGCCAGCACACCCCATCATACCTTCCACTTCCTGAGTGGTCTCTGATGCGATCTACACCAAGGGGCCGTCTCTGGGTCAGCCGTGTTTGACAGATGAAGAAACTGAGGCTCGGAGGGATTCAGGCACCCAGGCCCCTATGCTCATCCTGGAGGAGCGGAGGAGAGCCTCCGAGGGACTCCGTGCAGGGCTGCACCTGCCCCTTGATTCTCCACTGGCCAGCACAGTGACTCCAGATCACCAGGTCCTGCCTGAGGTGACATCACCATGGAAGCTCCAGAGCTGAGGATCTGATGGTCAGAGCAAGCAGGCCGGATAAAAGTGCTTGGGGCTCCTGGAACAGGAGAGCTGGTGCCCTCCTCAAGAAGACGGCTGCTCCTCAGCTCCAGCTGCCATGTAACCAGGTGGGAATGTGGACCAGTGTGACCAGAGCTTCTGCTATTCTCTTTAATCTTCTTTTTAAGAGGCAGGGCCACACTACGTTGCCCAGGCTAGAGTGCAGTGGCTATTCACAGGTATGATCAAAGCGCACGACAGCCTTGAACCCCTGGCCTCAGGCGATCCTCCCGCCTCCGCCTCCAAGTAGCTTGGACTGCAGGTGCACACCAGCTCAGAGTTTCTGATCGAGACAAAACAAAAATTAGAATTCGGAGATGAAATTTGCTGGTTCATAAACATAATTCAAAATTATTTTTAAAAACACCATATCAGAAAGGAAGAAAAAAAACTCACATCTAGTTCCAAGTTTCAGCCAAGGGCCATCAGTTTGAGATCTCTTGTCTCCTGTAAAAATGTCCCCTTGCTCTGAGAGGCCCTTCGTGCTTAGTTTTATACTTGGAGAAACACATCCTAGAGAGAGAAGTGGGCCCAGCTCTCACTCTCAACTCTGCAGGGGCAGCTCTGAGCCTGAGAATTGATGCAACTTGCTCCAGGCCACAGAGACCTGGCGCTCAACCCAAGCTGCCCCTGCCTACGGCTGCAGAATTGATGTTCCCTCTGCTGGCCCCCAGGGTGGAGGAGAGGCTGATATTGATGCTTCCTAGAAATGTGTCTGCCTGATGGAAGACATCAACTCCTCCCTGGTGACCTCAAATAGAGATTGAGGTAACAGGTCTTCCCCTGGAGTGATTTTCCCCAGATCCAAACATTGGCCTGGGATAATTCTAAATAACCAATCCATCGCTATGCCTGGAATCCTAGCAGGATTTCCTCTTGCCTGTTGCAGTGTTAAGAGACACAAGGGTATCTCTCTGGGAGGGATCCAATCTGGGCCTTCAGAGAATGGAATCTGGGACAGGCTCATTTGGAAGGAAAAGAGACTGAAAGAGAAGGGGCTTGGGTGTGGATGGCAGGGCTGGTGCAGCACCACGGTTCAGGGGAGTCCCAAGGGTGGCCATGACCCAAAGGAAACTGTCAATTTCAGCATTTTCCAAAGTGTTGGAAATCACGAAAAGATGGAATAAAAAAGAGGAGATAGGCAACATACTGAAACTCTGTCTCTATAAAAAAATTTAAAAATTAGCCAGGCATGGTGGTGTGCGCCTGTACTCCCAACTACTTGGGATGCTGAGGTGGGAGGATCAGTTGAGCCCAGGTCAAAGCCACAGTGAGTCATGAACACGCCACTGCACTCTAGCCTAGGTGATAAAGCCCTTGTCTCAAACAAACAAAACAGGACGAGGAAGGGAAGAGGAAGGGAGGGGATACAGGGCAGGCACAGTAGAACAGGGCAGCAGCCCAGGGGATGAGATTTCTCTGGCTGGGCAAACAAACCCAGGCAGCCCCATAAGGATCACCTGGGCCCAGACAGGTGGAGAACCTGCCGGCAGCCTGGGATGCAGCCGACAGCCCCAGGTGTGCACACAAACTCTGTTCTCACTGGTCCATTTCACATCTGTCCAATTGGTCTGTTCACGGCCAGCGTTAGGTTCTGACTGACTGGGAGCCTGGCGCGACCATGTGGGTGCTCTGACTCCACTCCTGCCCAGATCCGACAGGCTTTGCAGGTTGGAGCAAGGAGGATTCTATGGCACCCCTTGGACCCAAGCTGTCCCCTCATCACAAGTAAGCCACCCTGGGGGGGTGCAGAAATCCTGGGAAAATAGTCACTTTTTCCTACTTTCACGGTGAAATGGGAGCTCAGAATCCAGAAAAAAAAAAGTTGAAATATCAGATAAAGCCTGTTATTTTCTTAGTATACCTGGGTGGCAGGCAATCCAGGCAATCTCAGTAGTCCTCACTGGTCACCCCTACAAGAGAATCTGTATCACCCCATTATCAAGGAGGAAACTGAGGCACAGAGTGAACACATCACTGACAGGGGTCGCTGGTTGAAGGCCCCCAATACAGAGATCAGCCCCGTCCTCTGTGCACCTTTCAAAGCGTGAGCCCATCCCCCAGTGCCCGGCCACCCCACCCTACACCAACCCCAGTGCCTGGACACCCCCACCCCATGCCACCCCTGGTGCCTGGCTGCTCCACCCCATGCCACCCCTGGTGCCCAGCTGCTCCACCCCATGCCACCCCACCCCATGCTACCCCTGGTGCCCGGCTGCTCCACCCCATGCCACCCCACCCCATGCCACCCCTGGTGCCCGGCTGCTCCACCCCATGCCACCCCCGGTGCCCGGCTGCCCCACCCCATGCCACCCACGCAGATGAAGCAGACCACAGCCTTGTTCTTTGTATTATAAACTGACTTTTAATAATAATAAAAAATCTATCATGGATTTAACGAGAAGAATCTGTACATTTTAAAGTAAACCAGTGCACAATGCGCTGGCCCTGGGCCCTCCTGGTTTCCCGCAGCAGGGTGAAAGCGTGTCCTCATTCTCTCTGACACGGCCACTGCCTGCCATCATGTGTGCCTCGGCAAGAGGGAAGCGGGCCCTGTAGGGCGGGGTGCTGGGGTGCGGGGAGAGCTTCAAGCTCCTGGCCTGGGGGCAGCAGGGAGCCCCCACCTGATCTCACCACCTGCCAGGGTGACAGACATCCCCTCCTTTCCTCCCCACCTGTGACCTATCCCTGAAGGCATACGGAAGCTGGGGGGAGAGCTGCCAAGAGGGCCCCAGGTGGGTCCCTCCTCCCAGGCGGGCAGAGTGGCTCCCTGCTTTCTGGCAGATGGAGTCGTCCCAATTGCCCTGCTCTGAGAAGCTAACATCAAGAAAGTAAATTACAGAAGCCACCAGCTGCTATTTCCCAGTGGCCTTTCTACCTGTGTGACATGGGGCCTCAGGTACGGCTCAGTCACCTCCGGCTCCATTCCTGGCCGGCCGCCTCCCAGGCCCCTGTAGTCAGTCACTCAAAGAGCGAGTTCTAACACCGAGCAACAGCTGGAGAACTGAGATGGAGGAAGGAATCAGAGTCCATACCTGAAAACGACACCTTACACCCTAATAGGAACACACAGGAAACGCTGACATTTTTAAATGTTTCAATAATTTAGTTTTTCCTTTTTGCTTTTTTTTTTAGTATAAGTGGGAAAGCTGTCAATACTACCTCTTGTTGGTCCCCTGTTAGACAATATACCTTTCTTTGAAATTTAAAATGTCTATTATCACACAACTTTAGAAAAAAACAAATCTTGACAACACCAACAAAAAAAAAAAATCCCAAAATAAATCAGAGAGTTCACGCCATATAAATAAGGTCAGAGCAAATCTCGTGCCCCAGGCTGGCGGCTCCAGTTCCAGGGGCGGTGAGGTCCAGAGCCGCTGTGGCTCTCGGCACCCTCTAGGAACAAGCGTGATGGGGGCCCCATCTCTCCTTTCCTGACAGAGCCGAGTCTTTTCCAAGTCCACCAAGCAGGTTAGTACGGGGTTAGGGTGAACCTGGAAGCTCAGATGAGGATGAGGAGACACGTGTGGTCACCTGGAATGTGGACTTTGAAGGAAACCAGGGGTTTCAAAAGTGCAGGCTGAGCCATCCGGAGGGAGCCGAGTGGCCCCATGTGGCCTCCATGACGTTCCCCTGGGTTCTGGGGACGCAGGAGCAGAAGCAGGCCAGGTATCAGCTGCTCCCATCAGGTCTGTGGGTCCCCAGCACCCCTCTGGCTTCTGGCAGGCGCATGGAGAATGGGCTGGCCTAGGGCCAGCCAGCCAGCTTGTCATCACAGAGAAGGTAGCCAGGCTCGTCCTGGAAGGAGGCAGTGGAGGATGCTGGGCAGGTCCCGGAGCAGGTGGGCACGGAAGCCCTGGGCCATCTCTGGAGAAGGCCGGCGCTGCCCTACTATGTCCTCCCAAATCCCAGCTTCAGAGGCTGTGGCCCAGCATGGGCATTCAGGCGTTCAGAGGTCCCCATCCACCGGCGGCTGGCAGAGGCGGTAGAGGCTGGGGATGGAGGCAGAGGATGAGGAGAGGCCGGGGTGGGCCAGAACCTATTTGTATTATTTCCATTTCCACTTGAACACGTAATTCATGCCCAGAAACCCAAACTTGCAGGTATATAAAAGATGCAGAGAAAAATACCTACGCCACCCGCACCTTCTGCTGGCTGCCAGGCCCCTCCCCACAGGCAGTGTCTGCCCACTCAGACTGGCATTTACAAATGAAGATACGTCTACACGTTCAGCTGCGTGGGGGTGGGGGAGCATTCCACACTAGCGGAGGCCAGATGGCCGCGGCATTCACCCCTTACGCTGTTGTGCTTCATCTATCCTGGGGACCCTCTATATGCAGAGATGGTTTTAGAGGCAGGGGGACTAGACTCGAGGCCGTGTGGTGTCCGGGGCAGGCTGACCGCAATGCAGCCCATGTGGTCTGATGCCTGGGTTCAGAATCCCAGCTTTGCCATTTACTAGCTGTGTGATGCTAGACAAGATACTTAACCTCTCTGGGCCTCAGCATCCCCACCTGCCAAGTGGGGATGGCAGCCAGACTTGGCTCACAGGACGGCTGTTTGGATGAATGAGTCCACAGAGGGCAAGCGACTGGACAGTGCCTGGCACTGTGAAGGGACTGAAATGGATCACGTGCCACTCGTGAGACACAAGGTGTGTGTGTAGCCCCCAGCGCCACAGCACGGGCAGTGATCACCACCACTGGCAGCGGGTGTGGCCAGCACACTGCAGTGACCTAAGACCTGGCCCCTGGAGCACACTGCGGTGACCTAAG